GTGTCAAGGAATGCTATTTCATGGTTAGTCCTTTGAAAGGTTTTTCTGTTTAAGCTGTTTCCAAACTTGTTAATTTTTGATCCTATTGCCTTGATCCTGGAAAATTTCTTTCTGTCTTTGAAATTTCTTGAAGGGAATAAAAGTGATCCACTTTATTTTTGGTCTGTAAAAGCTTTTTGAATGGGGGTGCTCCCATGGCACCCACGAAGGGCAGGGGCCTTGCTTTCCTGCCAAGGTGCCACATAAAACAGGCCTTGCTAAAATGGTCACATTTAAGCAGGCTGCATCTGAATTCTACCTAGGCATTCATCTACCTGAACCAGTATAAAAAAAGTCTGGAGCTTCAGAACTTTTCACAAGCCTGGGAAGTACTTCCCGTGCCATTTTTCAGGGTGATTAGGTGTCAGAACACATTATTATTTTAATTTAATATTTTCGTGTTTTTTAGAGACAAGGTCTTGCTCTGTCTCCCAGGCTGGAGTGCAGTAGTGCAATCTTAGCTCACTATAACCCTGAACTCCCAGCTCAAGCAATCCTCCCATTTCAGCCTCAGAGTAGCTGGGACTACAGGTATGGGCCACCAGACGAGGTCTCACTATGTTGCTCAGGCTGGTATCCAACTTCTGGCCTCAAGTCATCCTCCCACCTAGGCCTCTCAAAGTAGGACGTTATTACTTGTTGCTTAAAACTATCATCCAAACTCCACTCTTAGTTAATCTTTTTGAGCACAGGTTACTGTATGTAGTTCAGCTACTTAGTCTAGGTGGCCACATAACTTTACTCCTTCTGGGGTATTTAATTTTATTATCTTTTTATAAATATGAGAACCCATCTTCCTGATAAGTAGAAAAAGGTCCAAAGCTTAAAATCACCCATGTTTAAAAAGCTTTTTCCAGGAAATCAGTGAATGCCTGGCCATGAGCTCTTAAGACAGTGCCATTTAAAAAAAAGCAAATAGAAGTGCTGTGTCTTTGTTCCAAACATACCAAGAAAACGGATGTGGGAGATTGTGGCTGTGGATTATGAAACCAGAGATTGTGAAGTTTAACAGCCACAGGGCCAGCAGTTCGTAAAAATCAGCGTACATCTTTGTTTAGACAAAAATACGCATTTACAAATACAGGCATGTTCAGCATGTTTGAAGGGTATTTTAAAACACCTGATGTCAGAGTCATAGACAGTGGTGTCTGTTTCTTTCTGCTGTTTTCTTGCCGTGCATGAAAAATGTAGAGCATGAAACGAAACATAGGACACATGACTGAATGGAGATTCCAAGTTGGGGCCAGCCTTAGCGTTGAGATTTGAACAGTGATGTGTGTGCGTCAGCTCAGCTGCACGGTTGGACCCGGGACGGACGTGGCCTTGGCTTTGCTTCACAGACCTCCTTTTGAGTCGCCAATCAGAGAGTTGTACCCCACGTGAAATTCCATATACAGCAGACCCATCTACCAAATAGTCTTGTGCATTTAAGAAAGCTTGTAATCCCTGGAAATATACAAAGGAAAATACCTGTCTGCAGGGGTTAGAAGCTCAGGGTGAAGAGCCAGGGTGGGAAGTGCCCCATGAGATAGCATGACCCAGCAGATGAGCTGACAGCCAGGGCCAAGAAAGATGCAGAAATGTGCATCGGGAAGGACGCCAGATGCCCACACTCACTGTGGGAGAAAGGTGTTTAAATCAGACAGCACCAAAGAGAATAAAGCGCTGGAGAAAAGGCCCAGAATACCCCCTTTGAAAGCAGCTTTGGTCCCTTTCTGATGTACATGGGATGATTTTTCAATCCATGCTGCTTTTTGCTTTCCCCATCATTCATGAAGTTCTCAAGGGCTCTTACCAGCCTTTCTCTTCCTTCTGCACCAAATCCTGTAACACACTCCATTTGCCTTGGTGTCTGCCTTTCCTTCCTAAAGTCAAATTCTTTGGCCGGGTGCAGTGGCTCACACCTATAATTTTAGCACTTTAGGAGGCTGAGGCAGGTGGATGACCTGAGGAGTTCGAGATTAGCCTGGCCAATGTGGTGAAACCCCCATCTCTACTAAAACACACACACACACACACACACACACACACACACACACACACGTTAGCGGGGCATAGTGGCACGTGCCTGTAATCCCAGGTACTCAGGAGGCTGTGGCAGGAGAATCGCTTGAACTCGGGAGGTGGAGTTTGCAGTGAGCTTAGATCACACCACTGCACTCCAACCCGGGCGACGGAAGGAGACTCCGTCTCAACAACAACAAAAAAGTCAAATTCTTTGTAGAATTATGGGGTGAGGAGTATTAGAAGAAACTCATTCCTCACTTGGGTTCAAGTGAGGTTCTTAAATTAATTAGGCTAATTGATGTTCCTTTGGGACTACTTAAAAATGTCCTGTAATTATGATTGCATTGAACTTTTCTATTTAAAAACTGGGGAACTGTATGAAATTCTCTACGGTGGTAAAATTTTTAGCGTTGAATGCTTTAAAACTGGTATTTGAAATTTTAGAAGCTGGGGCACACGTGAGTCCTAGAAGGCAGTGAGCACCCTCAGGAGAGTCAGTTGATACCTGGTAAAACCAGGGAATATAAAAGAAAGGAGAAAACTCCATTTGTTCCAAAGCTGTGACAGGAAGAAGCGAATGGACCTAGTGCAGAATGGAGGGAGCGGCCTGAAACCTGACTAGGGAGGTCACCTTCCCTGGAGCAGGACCTGCTCCCATCAGTTTCCTGTGTTTCCAGGCACTTGAAAACCTGCAGTTTCAGCAACTGCAAAGGGAAGGGTTTGGAGGGAGAAGCCAGTGTCCCACTAGGAGAAAAAAATAACATGAAGCGGGGAAGCCTCAGAGGGAATGTTGCCAAAGGTAACTGAATATAAAGCAAGTATTTCTGTAAAAAAAAATCTCTGAGGTTTTTAAGGCATTAAATGCTATGAAGAAAAGACGGTCCATTTCAGAAATGGAATGGATGCATGTAAGCAAAAGACAAAGCATGCAGTTCAGGGAAAGAAATTTACCCAGCCAATGCACAGCAAAATGCAGGTGAATTTCCATTATCAACTTGAAATGTTTCTGGATGAATTATACAGATTATAACATATGTGTAGAAGATGAGGTTCATTTAAAAGAAGATAACAGCTGCTTAAACCATGGAGAAGGTTATTTCTCTCTCATATAGAAGGAATCTGGAGGTAGATGGTCAAGGGCAGTTCATGTAGTTTCAAGGAGCATCAAGCATCTATGTTACTATTTGGCCATACTTGGCATAAGACTTCCAACTGATGGTTGAATATGGCTGTGTGAGCACCAGCCATTGCACCCCTATGCAGCTATTTCAGCCAACAGAAAACAGGTGTGAACAGAGGGAAAAAAATGGGCAAGGGGTCTCTGTTAACTTTTTTAAGATTTCTTTTTTCCCACTTACATGACATTGACAAATCCTGGTTGCAGGGACACATCCAACAGTAAGGAGGCTGGAAACTGTTTCCTGGATAACCATGGGCTCAGCCTCAGATCAGGGGTTTTATAACTATGAAGAAAGGGACAAACAAGGCAATGAACAGACTCAGCCACAACACCTTTCTGCTCCTGGAGTTTCTTGGGTACTTGCAAGCTGGTTAGCTAGCACAGAGGGGTCATCTGAATTGTCGGATGACTAATTTGTCTTCTATCTCTTCAATTAGCCTGAAGAGATTTTTTTTTTCTATTTTTCCTTGTCAGAGTGTGAAGAAGGGCAAACCGTGGCTTTTCTGTGGTTTGCTGTTAGGGCAGCTAGCTGCTGATTCCTGGGAAGGAATTTCAATTCTCCCCATGTGCTCAGAGAGGAAGGAAGCGTTTGGTATGCTATTCTCACCCCCAGAAGAATTCTCATTTGCCCACTTTCCTTCAAGTTATTCTCCAATAAATGTTAAAGTACTTTCTGTGCAAATAAACTAAAATCTTGCAATCTGATCCCTGAAAGTACAAGATTAACCCTTTTCTTTATGTAATATTTCTCTCCTCTGCCCTCAGTGTAACTGGTTATGGCTATAGGAGGTGGTGGTGCAGACAGCAGAATCACTCCTGCTGGATTTGGAAGAAAGGGCTTTTTTTTTTACAGGGTGTCAGCACCTTTAAGAATTTCTGGCTTGGTGAATCTTCCTCTCTCCCTTTATTTTGAACCTATGTATGCCTTAGTTCAACCATTGTGGAAGACAGTGTGGTGATTCCTCAAAGATCTAGAAGCTGAAGTACCATTTGACCCAGCAATCCCATTATGGGGTATATACCCAAAGGGATGTGAATCATTCTGTTATAAAGACACATGTGTGCATATGTTCATTGGAAAACTATTAACAATAGCAAAGACATAGAATCAACCCAAATGCCCATCAGTGATAGACTGGATAAAGAGAATGTGGTACATATACACCATGAAATACTATGCAGCTCTAAAAAGGAACAAGGTATCCTTTGCAGGGACATGGATGGAGATGGAAGCTGTTATCCTCAGCAAACTAACACAGGCACAGAAAATGAAATACTGCCTGTTCTCACTTATAAGTGGGAGCTGAATCATGAGAACACATGAACGCGTGGGGAGAACAACACACACTGAGGCTTGTTGGGAGAGAGAGCATCAGGAAGAATACCTAACGGTTGCTGGGCTTAATACCTAGGTGATGGGTTGATCTGTGAAGCAAATCACCTTGGCACACGTTTACCTATGTAACAAACCTGCACATCCTGCTCATGTACCCCAGAACTTAAAAGTGGAAGAAAAAAAATTTCCGGAAGGCAGAGAGCTCAGCCTAGATGATGTCCAGACAGGAACAATTCATATGGAAGATATTTAGCGGCATGATAGATCTTTCTAGCAGATGCTTGACTGCTCCTAAGATTGCCTGGCAATGGACAGTAGGATGTCCCCACAGAAGCGCAGAGAAACCCAGTGCCTCTGCCTCAGGGCTTGCCAGAAGGTGGAATCTTCCTGTGGCTGGCTGCCCCCTGGAGCTTACTTCTGCTTCTCAGATCCTTGTAGTGCACCTGCCTGGCCAGCCCTAACCTGCACGGTGGCAGACTTCCACCCCTGAGACATCTGAAAATGATTTTTTCAGCATCTCAGCCTCATGGTAGGTAGACAGAGAAGCTGGAAGGAAGGCGCATTGGGCAAGCCAGGCTGCCAGCTGCCGTCTTGGGCAAGGCATCCCTGCATTGGGATGGCCCTCTACTCCTTACAAACGGTGTCCCTACATGTGCTCTCCAGACAAAATCAAGTCTGGGCAAGGATTTGAACCTAAGGAAGGCAAATCTGACCACAGTCAAGAGTCATGACTTGAATTCAAGCTGCCCCTAGTCAAGCTGTTTCTCATCATACCTCACTGATGGTCTTAATTTTTTTCTTGAAAATGTAGGCATTTCGCTAGTGGTTCTGTGTTGAATTGTGTACTACCTCCCTGTCCAATTCAAGTGTTGAAGCCCTAATCTCGATGACGTCAGAATGTGACCTTATTTGGAGATAGGGTCTTTATCGAGGTAATTAAATTGAAATGAGGTCATTAGGTTGGGCCCTCATCCAGTCTGGCTGTTGTCCTTATAAGAAGAAGAGAGGAGGGCACAGACACACACAAAGGGATATTCACGTGAGGACACAGGGAAAAGCTGTCTGCAAGCCAGGAGAGAGGTCTTAGGAGGAACCAGCTGTGCCAACACCTTAATCTTGGACTCCAGCCTCCTGGATGTGAGAGCATAAATTTCTGTTACTTAAGTGACCCCCTGTGTGACACTTTGTCATGACAGCCTAAGCAATTGATAACAAATAGGAATGAATTTTGCCTTTCCAACAGAAAAATGAGTATTTCTTCAGTGATGTCCATGCCTTCTTTTTTTTGTGCCCTTCCTCGCTTAATGAATTTGGAGGAAGATCTGATCTCATTAACGCTCATTCTTTGCAATCGATATCCATGGATTTGTGCTCACTTGATTATCCAGTGCCACAGTCGGGCATTTTATGTAAGCCAGGGTGACTCTGGATGGAAGCCGGAGAAACAGATTAATTGGAAACAGATGACTGAGAAGAGCTCAGAATAAATTCTTACTTTTGGCTACCGAATTAAGTGTTGCATTAATCAGAATTGATTTGAACAATCGAAGACTGTGGGTTTCAGAATACTTCTATTTTAGGACAAAAGAGAATTACTTGCTCTTGGAAAAAGCTTTAAGTACCAAAGAAGGCACTAACTTGGTAAATGGAAAGCTAGAAGAAATGGGAATTGTGTTTTTATTTGATCTGGGGAATACAATAGATGTAGAAAGTCCCCTTGCTTGGGACTGCGAATGCCTGAACTTGCTCATTAATCTCCGCCTCTTAGCACAGACCTGGAAAATTGCAATTCTCCGCACCAGCAGCCCCTGTTCAATAAATATGGAGCCAGCGGGCAGGAGCGAGAAGTGGCTCTGGGCTGCGGGGCTGGCTTGTTGGAATCCCACACTCCCCAAGCAACTCAGGAACTCAGGCAGAAGGACACAGTGGCTCTCTGCATGCTTTGTTCCCAGCTTTTTAAAGAGCTTATTGTCTTTTTATAAATTGGCATTTCATAAAGTGTGACTGCTGTGTGCCAGCATTACTAGGTACTACGGGTGTCAATTTAGTTTTATAATTTTTTTCCTCTGGTGGAATTGACCTTTTCGCCAACACTAGATGCCTTATTCTCTGAGTATATCTTGATCTGATGTGAAGTGTCAAGGATAAAATTCCAATCCTTACTTGCTTTGTTGCCTGTCTCTTTGGCTTTCCCTGCCTCAAGGGCAAGGGTTTGGGTCATTAAAAAGGAACCCCCACTCCCTCTTCTTGGCCAAGTAGTGTGAGGGAGGGGGTCCCAGCTAAGAGGGCCCTAGCAGCACAGGGACCCACATCAATTAGCTTAATTATATCAAGGGCAACACGGCTGACAGATACTAATTCTTCCAAAGTTAATATCGTGCTTTGAAAGAAGGTAGGACATTCTAAGAACCTTGGCACTAAAATACCCCAATTGCAAGGCATACTTAAGTTAAATGACTGTTATTTCTTTATGGTGTGCTAAAAGTGAGGTCCTTTTATAGTACGCTGTGTGCTGTGACTCCTGATGAAGGCAAACTCATACTTGGGACTATTATATCCCAATTTACTGCTCGGGCACAAATTTCTGATCTACAGGATTAGGCATTAGGAAGTTATTCATTTCTATCAAATCAGTCTTAAAATATGGAGAGTGATAAATATGTATATTAAAGCATTTATCTGTTTGTGTGGTGTCACTCGTTTCTATCCAATCAATCTTAAAATATGGAGTGATAAATATGTAAATCAAAGCATTTACCTGTTTGTGTGACGTGTATGAATGTGTGTGTGGTGTGATGTGTGTGGTCTAATGTGTGTGGTGTGCATGGTTTGTGTGTGTGTGGTGTGTATGTATGTGTAGTGTGATGTGTGTAATGTGTATTTGTGTGTATGTGTGGCATATGTTTGTGTGTATAGTGTGATATGTGTGTGATATGTTTATATGTGTTGTGTGTGTAGTGTGGTATGTTTGTGTGGTGCGTATGAGTGTGTGTGGTGAGGGTTGTGTTTGTGCATGAGTGTGTGCGGTGAGGTGTGTTTGTGTATGAGTATGTGTGTGGAGCGAGGTGTGTGTATGTAGGTATAATGTGTGGTGTGTGTGTTTTGTGTGTTGGGTGTATTTGATGTGTGATGTGTGTAGTGTAGGTGTAGGTATGTGTGTGGTGTTTGTGTAGGGTATATTTGTGTGTGTGGTGTGTGTGATGTGGTCTGTGTGTGTGATGTTTGTGTGTGTGTGGTGTGTGTAGTGTAGTATGTGTTTGTGTGTGTTTCATGTATGATGTGGTGTGATGTGTGTGGTGTGTTTGTATGATATGATATGTGTGTTTGGTGTGGTGTAAGTATGTGTGGTGTGATGTGTGTGTGTGTGTGATGTGTTTGTGTGTTTGGTGTGTGATGTGCATTTGTGGGTGGTATGTGTATGGTGTGTGTGTTTAGGGTGTATTTGTATGTGTGTGGTGTGTGATGTTTGTGGTCTCTGTGTGGGATGTTTGTGTATGTGTGCTGTCTGTGGTGTAATGTGTGTTTGCATGTGTTTGATATGTGATGTAGTGTGATGTGTGTGGTATGTGTTTCTGTGTGGTGTGTGTGTGATGTGTTATGCATGTGATATGATATGTGTGTTTGGTGCGTTGTGTTTGTGGGATATGTGTGTTTGGTGTGAGTGTGTGTGGTGTATGTGTGCAGTGTGTGGTATGTTTGTGCATGTGGGATGATACGTGTGTTTGATGTGGTGTGTGTGGTGTGTTTATGTGAGTGTGTGTGGTGTATGACTGTATGATGGGTGTGAGTGTGTGGGTCTGTGGCATGTGTGTGGCATGTTGTATGTGTGTGTGTGTCAAAACTAAAAGCTGCTGCTCATGACTAATTGCTGATTCCTCTAAAGACCTTACCAGGATGATGCGAGCAATGACGTCTCATCTTCCCCAACTGGGAAACACAGATTTGAGAGGTTCCTTTCCCAAGTTTAGGGGTTAATATATTTGTGAATTATGCTGTGTTTCAAACTTTTTATTCTTGCTGGGACTGTTGAGGGGTCCCTGAATATAGCTCTGTCATGCCCTAGGTGACTTTTCGTGTCTGTTAATTTCCAAGGAATATATGTTAATTATTTGAGGCCTGCCACTTAGATGGTGAATGCACAGATGAAGACCATTTTTTCTGGAAGTGCTATTTCCCACCATCTGTGAGGAGCCCTGGCTGCTGCCCCCGTCCTGGTTGGCCTCACTGTGGGGCTGTGCCCCTCCCAGGATGGCTCCTCGGCAGAGGCCCCACCTGACAACCTTGCCTCACTCTCTCCAGCGGCCTGCTTTGCTCTTTGAATCTCTGAAATTCTGTTCCTTATTTGTATTTACCTTTCCATTTGTTTTCCTGGGGAGGGATGGGACTAAGTTTGTTCTCTGCTCTCTCCCTGCCCCCAGGACAGGGATGACTGTCCCAGACCACTTGCAGAATGCATGAATTTGCTATAGTTCCTCCAGGCTGCCTGGTAAACCAGCAGATTTTGCAAGCTGGCTGACAGTATTACATTAATCAAAACTTAGACTTGGATCATCCAAGAGATGATTTTCCCCCAGAGCTGTATTAACTGGCCCATAAAGAAGTCTGTCAATTTGGTCTACATCTAAGGAGATCAAGTAGCACACCACCACAGAAGGAGAACAAGATTTGGAGCAAGATCTGGATCCCAAGTCAGGCTTGGCCAGTCTTCACGAGGTGATCTTAGGCGAGGCCCTTCTAGAATGGGGATGACGAATGTTTCCTGCAGCCCTCATAAACAACTACGTAAGTCCCAACTACAGATGACAGAAGCCCATTCTCTAGATAAAACAGAGAATCATAGAGATTCTCTATAATGCAAAGCTACTTTAAAACCTTCAAAGCCCCCAAATTAGGTCAGGTGCTGTTACAGGCTGAATTGTGTTGTCTCCCCACCCAAATTAATATGTGGAAGCTCTGACCTCCAGTACCCCAGAGTGTCACTGCATCCAGAGATGCTTAAAGAGATGGTTAATTGATTCATGTTAAATTAATGTTGTCACGTGGTGAGGACACAGCAAGAAGGTGGTCATCTGGAAGCCATGGAGAGAGACCCCAGGAGAAACCACACCTGCCAGCACCTTGATCTCCAACTTCTGGCATCCAGAACTGTGAGAAAATAAATTCCTGTTGGTGAAGCCACCTAGTCTGTGGTATTTTGTTACGGCAGCCTGAGCATACTAACACTCTACTCAGCAAGAATCTGCTGATGGACCATGGGACTGACGTGAGAACCTCTGCTCTAGCACCAAACTCTGTGTTATCAGCATAGATAAATAAATGCAAGTGGAATTTTAGTTTACCAAAGCATTCTTCTGTTCTTTGCATTTTTATGACAATACCAGAGACTTAAAAAAAAATAGAGATGGGAACTCACTATGTTGCCCAGGCTGGTCTCAAACTCTTGGGCTCAGATGACCCTCTTGCCTCGGCCTCCCAAAGTGCTGGCATTACAGGTGTGAGCCGCCATGCCTGGCCCAGAGACTTGTAATA